ACATCTTTAAAATCTTCTTTTTTTTTTTTTTTTTTTACTTTGCTTAATGGTAAGAAGGTACAAGAGTCAATACAAAAGACAGCAGATATTATCTAAAGCAGTGTTTCCCAAACTTGGGACGCCCCTTGTGAAGGGAAAGCCCCTGGCGGGCTGGGCCGGTTTGTTTACCTGCTACGTCCGCAGGTCCAGCCAATCGCGGCTCCCACTGGCCGTGGTTCGCCGCTCCAGACCAATGGGAGCTGCTGGAAGCGGCATGGGCCGAGGAATGTACTGGCCGCCACTTCCAGCAGCTCCCATCGGCCGGACCTGCGTACGCGGCAGGTAAACAAACCGGCCCGGCCCGCCAGGGCTTTCCCTACACAAGCTGCGTCCCAAGTTTGGGAAACACTGATCTAAAGCATAGACACTAAAAATGCATTTACTAGGCAGTGACAATAAAAAGCTTTCTCTGGGAAGTAGGTGGAGCTATTAGTTTATAGAATGAACCTGGAGATTTTCTCATTAGATTCACAATAGCTCAAAAATTCTGAAAAGCAGCAGTAAAATTGACAAGGGCTTGTTAGCTTTACTTTGCTGCTGCTCCCAAATTGTTCTGGGAGTCTGCTTTCTCCACTCCCTTCATCCAAAAGAATTCCCAGCAGTGGCAGAAAATTCTCTCTACTTATGTTCATGGTTTTCCAAGAAGCAGCAGAGTGAAAGTTACAAGATAAACTAAGATAGCTTCAGAGTTTCTTTTGTTTTGCTGCAGCAAAACTGCACTCATTCTCTTCAGTGTCATGGTACTGCTCCTCTGAAAGCTATGAGCCACAGCAGAGACATTAAAAGTGATAGCAGGAGAAAGACTAAGGGCATGTCTACACATACAGTGCTGCTGCAGCTGCACCTCATCTGGTAAATATGCTCTATACCAACGGGAGCACTCTCTCCCATTGGCATTATAAAACCACCTCTGTGAACTGCAGAAGCTATACTGGCCCGCCAATAAGGCGCTGTGCACACAAGCACTTATGTCGGTGTTACTTATGTCACTCAGCGGGGTGGTTTATTTACCCCCCTGAGCGACATAAATTATGCCGACATACGCTGTAGCCATAGCCTAAAACTCACCATTCTTTTCCAGTAGCTGGAGGGAAAAGAGAGGAAAGTAGTTCCTCCTTTACAGCAGGTGGGGGTCAGAAGGAAAGAGAAGTTGGGACATGGAGAGGTGGGGATAAGAGGGGTAATGCAGCAGCTAGTAAACAGGGAAGAGTGAGTTCTAAATCTAATCAGACCCCTTACTAACCAAGATTGGCCATGGACCAGATACACCAGCCTGCAAACAATCCCACTGACTCTCCCTTCCAGAAGCTAGTGGGAGAGGCACAATAATGATTTACAGCAGTGGTTCTCAAACTTTTGTAAGTGACCCCTTTCACATATAGCAAGCCTCTGAGTGCGACCCCCCCGTAATTAAAAACACTTTTTAATATATTTAACATCATTATAAATGCTGGAGGCAAAGCGGGGTTTGGAGTGGAGGCTGACAGCTCTCGACGCCCCCATGTAATAACCTTGCGACCCCGAGGGGTCCACACCCTCAGTTTTACAGCAAATCTATACACAGTTTTCAGGGTCTTTTGTACTCATTCTTCCAAAAGTACGTTGTTGCAGTTTGACCAAGGAGACTAAATAAAAATTAAAGTTCTAATAACAAGGCTTAAGATTCAATAATATTTAAAAAATTTATTTTGGACAAGGACATCTATTTCAAAACAAGTTTGTTAATGAGAAAGTCCTACCCATTCAGCTACACTTGTTCTTTGGCAATTCTCATGGATGAATTAATTAATTCAGAAAGTTTTTTTACATTAGCATTCCTTTTAGACCAATATTCCACACACTAACGATTACACAAAAGAAGTTAGAAGTCCTTTTTGGGGATTAGAGTGGTGTGTTTTATTTATCCTCCTCCCAAAAGAAATCAACCGGTTTTCACAGGATACACAATTAAAATCTTTTTAAATTAGAAGCCATTCCTTTGGCAACCTCTTATGGTCTCCAAAAGAGAACCTATTAATAAAAAAAATTCCTTGGATAGTCTATTGAGTGTATTCCCTTTGCAAATGTAATGTTATCTATTTTTAATCATCTTGTATCACATTAGTTATTCTGCATGGTAGTCCCCAAAAGAACATTTTTTTAAATTTAAAAAGCATACACTCCCCTTCAACCACTTACGTCAGTTAAAAGAGCAACTAGTGCTCAACTTCTAAACACTAACCAGATACCTTCAATACATATTTTTCAGTGATTTCAGGCTGTTGCTCTCACATGGAAAAAGCATGGCACAGGGCTTGTCTACACTGCCAAGTTGTCAACAAAACTTTTGTCTTTCACAGGTACTTAAAAAAGCTCCCTTCTCCCCCCCCCCCCCCCCCCCCCCCGGAAAGATAAAGGTTTTGCCGCAGCAAGTGGCAGTGTGAATGCGGCTTTGTCGGCAGGAGCGCTCTCCTGCTGACAAAGCGAATGCTGCTCGTGGGACTGGAAGTATGCCGACATTTAGCGACAGGGCTGTGTCGACAGTCTTGTCGTTAAAAGCTGTGTGGTGTAGACAAGCCCATAGTGTTCTACTGTGGAAATCAAGAGTAGTTATTTAGGTTAGATGTGTGAAATGTTTGTAGTGTTAGAAGCTAAAACTGTATCTACCTTAACTTGAGTAGCATTTTGAGTTGTGGAAGGGAGAGGTGAGAAAAAAGCGGCACAGACAAAATAGCTGAGAAGGATAGAGCTGAGAAGACAAAAAAAGCACGGGGCGGCGGGAGGGGGGAAGAGACTATTAAAAGAGTTGTATCCCACACAGCATCTCAACATGATTTACTATCAGGGAGTTCTGCTTCAAGAAGAACCAGTTCAGGCACTGAAAAATGGTAAGACAGACAAGAAAAGGCTGAACCACTTACTCCCTCTAAACATTTTCTAAAAGTTGTATGTAGTGTAGTTGTAACCATGTCGGTCCCAGAATATTAGAGACACGAGGTGGGTGAGGTAGTATCTTTTATTGAACCAACTCCTGTTGGTGAAAGAGACAAGCTTTCAAGCCACACAGAGCTCTTCCCAGGCTTGGACTGCAACTCCGGGACCCTGTGAGGGGGAAGGCTAGCAATAAGTGTTTAATTGCTATATCACCTTAACCTTATTTTTCTTTCCTGTATACCGCTTGTGACTGGGTGATTTTGCGGAAGCTGTCTCAGTGACAGTGGCCAACCAAGTTTCCCTCACCTCCAATAAATTTGTTAGTCTCTAAGGTGCCACAAGTACTCCTGTTCTTTTTGTGGATACAGACTAACACGGCTGCTACTCTGAAATCTGTCACCTCCAACAGTACCATTTAACTCTTGCTTTTTTGACACTGTTCAAGGTTACACATAATTTACCTGTGATGCACCTCATGATAAGAAGTTTCCCTAATAACAGAGCAAACCAAGAATATTAAACTGAAAAGTACAAAAATGCATGCACCACCCACCTTCATCATGCTCCCCAAATAAACATGACCTAGACATGCTACCTAAGTTTCACCAACTCAGACCCCAAAATAGTGTTCCCTTCTATCTCATTCTAAGAAAGGTACCCTATGTGTAGTCCTTCAGAGCACATACTGCAGCTGAGGCATAATGACAGCTGGTTGGGAAGACCTAAAATACACACTAACTTACGGCAGGTCTACAATTAAAACATTTCACTGGCACAGCTGCAGCATGTTAGTGAAGATGCTATATGCGGTTGGGAAAGCTTCTTCTGTTGGTGTAGTTAATCCATCTCCACAAGAGGCAGTAGCTATGTCGACAAGAAAAGCTCTCCCTTCAACATAGTGCTGTCTACACTCAGGGTTTGGTTGGTATAAATGTGACACTCAGGGATGTGGATTTTCCACATCCCTGAAAAACAGCTATACTGGTGTACGTTTATAATGTACACCTGGCTGTAGAGTTGGGAGCATAATGAAATGGGCATACAAGCCAGAGGCCAACAGCAAACGTTTGTTCCCCTGGGAAGGGGCAGAGGCCCACCCATGCCAGTCACCCCCATGCAGCCCTGGCTAGAAGCTGGGTTTATTGCTCTGGGGTGTGCAGAGAGCGCTTGGGCTTTCAGGCCCACGTGGGATCCTCCCCAACCCTGGTCACTACAGCTTGCAAAGCTGAGCCTGGTGCCCTTCCCCCGGTGGCAATTCACAGCCGTGAGAAACCGTGCTCAGCCTGGCCACGACATAGGGGCAGTTACCTCGGTGCCTCCAGCGAGAGGCCTTGTGTGGAGCCCCCCCCATTACCGGGCTACTGCTGCGCTGGGCCGGGGGTGCCCGGGCCGCAACTGGGGGAGGGGGGAGCCCGCACTGCGGCCGGAAGCAGTTTGGGACAAACTCAATGGAGCAGCGCCGCCCCCCCCCCAGCCCCTTCACTAAGGCGGCCCCGGCGGCGGGGTCTCACTGCTGCGGCCGCCGCCGGCGCCACGTGATGAGGCGGCGGCCGCCTCGCTGCCCCCCACATGCAGCTCTGCAGCCCGCGCAGGGATGGTGGCCGCTGCCCCCGCCCCCCAGCCGGCCCGGGGCCCGGCCGCCGCCTTCCCGGCAGCGCCGGCCGGTTGTGTGGGGGAGGGAATGTAAACAAATGGGGTTTTATAGCTACCTCACTCGAGTGCCGTGTGCATCTCCCTCTCCGCTCGGTACCAAACCGCCGGGGCGCCTCCTCCTCCGCAGCGGCCGCCGCGCTACGCCATTCACCAAACACACTTACGCCGTGCCAGCCGCGCTCTGCACGCACACCGCTACGAACCATGCGCATAGGCTAAGCCACCACCTTGGTGGCTCAGCCTAGCCAATGCGGGCTTCCCCCCGCCCCCTTCTACGTAAACGGCGTAGCACAACCTCTTCTAGTCTCTGCCCCTCCCTCCCGGGGCTGCTGAGCTCATTGCCAGGTTACTCCGGAGGAAGAGGCGCATGCGCAGTCGGGCAGCTCCACCGGATGCTGCGCTGCCCTGTGCGGTGTGGGCGCGCCTGCTGCGGACGGCGTCTGTGCAGTGGCCCCCGGGGTAGGGCGCGCGTGACCCCCGCTCCCGCGCGGCCCCGGAGGGGAGCGGGACCCGCAGTCCCTGTACAGCCGGGGGGGGGGTGATCGTACCCGGGCACCGTTGCCCACAGGAGGGACGCTGGGGTTGGGCAGAGGCGCCACGGTGATGGGCACCGCGCGAAATGGCGCGAGAGCGGGACGGAGCGTCGCTAGGCCGCACCTGCCCCGGGCCAGCGGGAGGCTTTGCCCCTGGGCGGGGGTTTCGGTGACGCCGGGGCTGCAGCCCTGGTTCAGCGAGCTCGGGTTGGTGAAGTGGTGCCGGCCGCTGGGTCGCTCAGGCGCAGATCGCTTTCAAGCTGGCCTAGAGCGACTGGGCCTTACCCCGGCCAGGGGTGGGGTGCGACCCGACCCGACCCGAAAGGGCTGTTCTTAAACTGGCAAAGGCAGCGGTAGTTGAGCTCCAGCAGTTGTTCAACCCATTTAAATTAAACAGGTGCAACGTCTGCTTTTCTGTACTTTGGAGAGGAGAACCGTGTTACCCGCTCTACAGGTTTTACTGGAGACCAGTTCATAGATTCATAGATTCTAGGACTGGAAGGGACCTCGAGAGGTCATCGAGTCCAGTCCCCTGCCCGCATGGCAGGACCAAATACTGTCTAGACCATCCCTGATAGACATTTAAGAGTAGGTTAGATAAATATCTCCAGAGACGGAGATTCCACAACCTCCCTAGGCAATTTATTCCAGTGTTTAACCACCCTGACAGTTAGGAACTTTTTCCTAATGTCCAACCTAGACCTCCCTTGCTGCAGTTTAAGCCCATTGCTTCTTGTTCTATCCTCAAAGACTAAGGTGAACAAGTTTTCTCCCTCCTCCTTATGACACCCTTTTAGATACCTGAAAACTGCTATCATGTCCCCTCTCAGTCTTCTCTTTTCCAAACTAAACAAACCCAATTCTTTCAGCCTTCCTTCATAGGTCATGTTCTCCAGACCTTTAATCATTCTTGTTGCTCTTCTCTGGACCCTTTCCAATTTCTCCACATCTTTCTTGAAATGCGGTGCCCAGAACTGGACACAATACTCCAGCTGAGGCCTAACCAGAGCAGAGTAGAGCGGAAGAATGACTTCACGTGTCTTGCTAACAACACACCTGTTAATACATCCCAGAATCATGTTTGCTTTTTTTGCAACAGCATCACACTGTTGACTCATATTTAGCTTGTGGTCCACTATAACCCCTAGATCCCTTTCTGCCGTACTCCTTCCTAGACAGTCTCTTCCCATTCTGTATGTGTGAAACTGATTTTTTCTTCCTAAGTGGAGCACTTTGCATTTTTCTTTGTTAAACTTCATTCTGTTTAACTCAAACCTATCTCCAATTTGTCCAGATCATTTTGAATTATGACCCTGTCCTCCAAAGCAGTTGCAATCCCTCCCAGTTTGGTATCATCCGCAAACTTAATAAGCGTACTTTCTATGCCAATATCTAAGTCGTTAATGAAGATATTGAACAGAGCCGGTCCCAAAACAGACCCCTGCGGAACCCCACTCGTTATGCCTTTCCAGCAGGATTGGGAACCATTAATAACAACTCTCTGAGTACGGTTATCCAGCCAGTTATGCACCCACCTTATAGTAGCCCCATCTAAATTGTATTTGCCTAGTTTGTCGATAAGAATATCGTGCGAGACCGTATCAAATGCCTTACTAAAGTCTAGGTATACCACATCCACAGCTTCTCCCTTATCCACAAGACTCGTTATCCTATCGAAGAAAGCTATCAGATTGGTTTGACATGATCTGTTCAAACCACAGCACAGGGCTACTACCTTAATCTGCGCCTCTCACGGCAACTCTCTCCATCACGCTCTCTTGTTTGCTGGTGTACAGTTGTACAGCTCCGTAGACTTAAGTTTTGCCCTTTTACACCAGCAGAATATTTGGTCCTTTAGTGAAAATTTAGTTTAAATTTTGCATAGATATTAAGCTGTTTTACAGGCCTAGTCCCATATTCCGTCTGTATCCAAAATTCCCATTGACAGTAGGGAATGCAGAATGGAGTCCTATATCTGCTACCTGACATTAGAATTTGTTACTGGGCAATAACTCAGTATTTGCAATGTGTATGTGATTGCATTTTTTTGTCTGGGTCTGATTGCTTTTCCAGTTAAAGTCTAGGTCAGCAAGCATTTAAAAAAAAAAGGACAAGTAAAAATCATGACAGGTCAAAGCCTATTAGGTAAATTGAAACAAATATACCAAATGTGGACAGGTCCTTTCATGGTTAAGGGGTGGTCTGTAACCAGTTTTTGTACTGAATTAGCAGTTTAGAAACTGATGTATTAAATTGGTGCAACTCCCTGTGGAGGTATTTATACTGATATAAAGGTGTCAGTCTATACTGGTATAGTATAGTGTCATAAATTTACCCCACATAAATTTACACTAAACCAGCACCTTTATACTAGTCTGACTGCCATCACAGTAAGGGGTTGAAACATGTATTCATAGCTTTTAAGGCCAGAAGGGACCATTAAATCATTTAGTCTGACCTCCTGTATGTCACAGGTCATTCAGTTTTACCCACTTAACCCTTATTGAGCTCAGTTGTTGTTTGGCTAAAGCATATGCCACCTTTAAAGCAGCTTGGTTCATCCTGAACCATAACTAAGTGGCTTGAAAAGAAACTTTCTAGTCTGTTCACAACCATTACACACTAGAAAGATCTTTTCAAAAAGTGCTGTTTTAACTGAATTCAAAGCAGCTTCAGTCCCAAACAGCTATTTTAAAAGCAAGAGATGCCACACTTTGGACTGAAACTGGAAATGGCATTGTCAGCAGACATAGAGTAGTAGGAAGAAATTTAATTCAGCTACATATCTTATAACGAATGTGTTCATTAACTAAAACTCCAGTCTTCATAAATCAATGTAGTTTTGTACTGGATTTGATTGATAAAGATTGGATTTTTAGTTACTAGGTAACTACCTCACTATAAGGAAACTAATTTTTCTTGTATATAGTCACATGTAAACGTATCCCAGACTTCCTGGATTCAATGAGGATGACAGCTGTTTTGCGGCGTAACAAGCTGTGGGGGGGAGGAGGGAAGAGCGGGAAAGCAGTGCGCTCAGGGCAGGAGGCGGGGCGGGGATTTGGGGAAGGAGTCCAATAGGGGCAGGGAGGGGGTGGAATTGGGGTGGAGCTAGGGGGGGTGTCGAGCATTCACCGGCGCCGGGAGAAGATGGCGCCTACGCTAGAGAGTTTCATAGAGACGTCATCTGGCAGGTTTAAGCTCAAGGAAAAGAATAAACATGGGTAACACTTCTGTAGCCTTCTCAAGCCACACTGGCCAAGCATGAAGAGAAATTTGATAAAATGCTTGAACATGAGAAAGTGTTGTTAAAAAGCTTTGGCTCAAAAGTAAGTAGACAATAGCTGATCAGTAGCGTAGCAGAGGATAGCATATAAAGCATTCCCCCTTCCCTACTGAATAATTTTCTGGCCTGTAGCTGAAATATGCTGTTCTGGTACAAGATTTCCAGTTTTCTTTCTATGTATTTTCTGCTGTATCTGTATTTGGTCTGTTGTTTTATTTACACTTTCTAACATTCACTGTGGCAGTGTGATGCACACTCTGACAATGTACACGGTGGGAATGATGCTGGGAGAGGACATTGGACACAGAGTAGGTAGGGAGTCCCCTTAAACATTTTCATATAGGTGGGAGGCTTTCAGGGTGTATAATCTCTAGCGTGAAGTTTGACCACTTGCACAAGTGGTTGTAAACTTTCAGTCTAGGGTCCATCAAGGAAATGAGCAGTGATGGGGATAGAGTTAGAGCGAGCCATACACAGAACTGTGTCTGGTGACCTGTTTGGGAATTACCCAGATACTGTTGTGAGCCTCAGAGGTAGTAGGGTTATTGGTGATCAGTTTTTAAGTGAAATTCTACTCTTAAAAGTGATTATGTAAAAGTGACACCTTCAACAAGTTACTCCCCATGCGTATTCAGAGTCAGATCAGTTCACTATAGTGACAAAATTAAGTTTTTGCTACTTTTTACTCCTATTAGCCCTGCTAAACCGAGTGAGCTTCAGATTGTATTCTATTTTGTTCCTCAGCAGAGTTATTTACTATGTTCCAATCAGTTTCCTGTGCAAACTCCAGTGAAGATTTAAGGTTACACAGGTGTAACTGAGGAACTAATTTGTGCTACAGAGCCCTTGCTATATGCAAGCTGGAAAGAACCCAGTTTGAGTTTCCAGGGCTAGCCGTTATTTGTAAGTGGGATTAGACGTAGTATATGAACAGAAATCTTCTCACTGTGCTAACTTTATTCTGTTAAATTATTTTCTTCTCGTTTTTCAGATCCCATTTGCCTAATGTAACTACAAATTTTCTTTTATTGGACTTTGGGAGACAACTTATGTTAGTAACAGGACTGTCACAGGATTCAAGAATGACAAAAGAGACCCACACCCAAATTTCTCTCACACACATTTGTTTAGTCTCCCCTAAATCTAATACAAAGTAAATCTATATGGAAAGTACCTGTTTTTCCTCTTTGTGCATAGAGGAAAAAAACAGTCACAAAAGTTACAAAAGCAACTTCTTTAGGAGGTTTCCTGCACAACTATGGCAAGTTTATATGACTAGTGCCTGGCTGTTGTCACCTAGTGTGCCTATT